TCGCACTCACCCTCCTGCATGCGTGCACTCTCCCTCCCGCACGCGCACACTTTCCCTCCCACATGGGCACGCACACAGACTCGCACTCTCCCTCCTGCACATGCGAACTCTCCCTCCCGCACGCGCGCACTCTCCGTCCCGCACAATCAGGCACAGACTCACATTCTCCCTCCCACATGGGCACGCACACAGACTTGCACTCTCCCTCCCTCACACACACACACACACACTCTCTTGCATTCCCGCAGCGTATCGCTGTCTCTCTTCCCCATTCCTTCTCCCCATCCATGATCCACTTTCTGTCTATCTTTTCCTCTCTCTCTTGCCCTGCCTTTCTCTGCTGACTACTTTCATTACCTCTTTCTCTGTCTATCTCTCCCCGACCTCTCCCTTCCGCTGTGACCAAATTTTTCTCTCTCTCTCTCTCTCTTTGTCTGTGTAACCCTCTCCTCCACCCCCTCCCCTGAATCAATATCTTTGTAAAACATGGTGAGTATTGATCGAGGTAGGGAGGGGGAGGCTAAAGTGGGAGACGGATCGAGGGGCAAATGGGATAAAGAACCAGAGGGGGAGATGGATCGAGGAGGAACGGGGTAAAGAACCAGAGTCAAATCAGACAGAATCTGACCCTGCATCCCCGTTCGGAAATATCAGGGACAGGGCAAATTAAGGGCTTAGTCAGAGAGTTTGGGGTTTAAAGCAATAGGGAGGGGGGTGTAGGGGGCTGGGAGGGGGGGTAGGGTGCGGGAGGGGGTGTAGGGGTCTGGAGGAGGTGAGAGAGACAGGGTGGTGTGTGTGTGCATATGCGTGCGTGTATATGTGTGCATGTTTGTGTGTGTGTGTGAGTGAGTGTGTGAGAGAGTATATTTGTGTGTGAGAGAGAGAGAGTGCGTGAGAGAGAGTGTGAGAGAGTGTGTGTGTGTGTGAGAGAGTGTGAGAGAGAGAGAGTGTGTGTGTGTGTGAGAGAGAGTGTGAGAGTGTGTGTGTGTGTATGAGAGTGTGTGAGAGAGTGTGTGTGAGAGAGAGACAACATGTGTGAGAGTGTGTGAGAGTGGGTTTGAAAGTGTGTTTGAGAGAGTGTGTGTGTGTGTCTGTGTGTGTGTATGTATCTGTGAGTGTGTGTGTCTGTGTCTGTGAGT